CATGAATGCAGGGTGTACAGTACAATACAGTGTATCGTACTATACACTATGATAGGGAATGGCAAGTACAGTTCAGCTTAGTAGTTACAATATTCTTGACACTGTTGGCAATATTGATTAGTAGGCACGCAAGGCTGTAGGAGCAAAGCGTCGTTGCTCTTCACAGTAAGGATTCCCTCACACAAATTTGTCGGCGGTATCCCTCGGGGAAGTCTACCAAAGAGCACGCACAAAAAAAAACAGCTGCACAGTACTGCGCGCAGATCATTTTTGTGCGCACCTTGAATCCCAGAACGGTAAATCCGGTAGGTACCGCGAAGGGTTGGCTCTTTCTGCCGGTTCCTTTAATTTGTTATCCCTCGCGCCTGTTTGATGCGCATATATTAATGTCAATTCACATGTATGGAGGTGGAATTAAACTAAGTTTTATTCTAATTTATTTTAACACATGTGAATTGAAGTGTATACACACGCATCTAAACAAGGCCTTAAATTAAATGCCTTTGCTGCCTTGCTGGTAGTTGATTTTCGAATAGAATATATATGGTGGAAATGTAAATGATTATTAGACGTGTTTCCTAACTTTGAGCCTCTTTGGCAGGGCTCCTGCAGGGCTTTAGCTCCGGTTCCTGCAGGAGCTGTGCCAAACGCCTGTTTTGGAAAGAGATCTGCATGGAGAGCCGGTCAAGAGTCGGAGTCATTTTTTGCCTGCGCAGGAGAAGCCTCAAAAACGAGCTTCGCGCGGCTCCTTGCTGTGGGTTCACGTCGTCTAGTGTGAATGAGCCGTTTTGCCAAACGTTTTCCAGAACGGCTTCAGCTCCTTCAAAGGAGCCAGAGCCGGAGCCATTTTCAGAGGAGCCAGAGCCCTGCCAAACAGGCCCTTTATCTCGAGGCTTAACTTTGTCACTTGCTAATACATTATCTATAGCTATAGTTATATCTATTTATATCTATATATCTCATATTTTAAAACCTCCCTACAAGTTTTATGTCAACACACGAACCATCCACATCATTTCTTATTAAGTATCCAAATCATCTCCCACTACGCCACGTCAGCCTACTAACTTTCAACTGCAAGCCATCCACATCACCTTTGCTAAGTGCAATTGCTATTTTCAATATGTAAAAAACATAGATGGCATGCATATATTGTTATTTGTTTTGCCATTCCATCATCTAATTCGGTCTAATTCTTTTGGTTTTTCTACATGATTTCTCGCTAACTATCCACATCATCTTCCACTAATGCCACGTTAGCCCACTAACTTTCAACCTATCGATACAAGCCATCCGCATTACCTCCACTAAGTGCAATTACTATTTTTAATATGTAAGAAATATACAAGACATGCATATATTGTTTGTTTTGCCACTCTTAGGATATCATCTTGGTGGTTCTCGTTCGTAGCAGGAGAGGCATAGAAGACAAACTGAGTGGCGTCAGCGGTGATAGTGGAAACGACGAGCATAAGGGGGCGTACCATGACCTTCTGCTTCGAGAGAAATTAGCGCATAGGTGGGAGTTTTGCTCTTGCTGGGAGACAGCGCAGGAACCGAACGTGCTCTCAAGCGATGGAGTCACTCCCTCACCATGAACCCACAACATGTGCTTCGATTGTTGTCTGCACCTCTTGTCAGATGAAACCTGCGCGTCCTCTACATGTCTTTGATAGCCTACACGATCACCTATCGTCTGTGAGGACATAGAGGATAGAGCAGCATGCAACCATATTGTGTTGGTAAAGATCTAAGAGGGAGAGAAAGTAAGCTGTCAATAACATGCGAAGCTTATTACCTCATATAAAACTATGACACAAGAAAGACATCTCCAAAATTCATCTCGACATGGTTGAGGGTAGAAAATCAGTTAGGGGCAATAATTGAGGGATATTAAACAAGAAATTTTCCATACTTAACCAGCTCCAAAATAATCGATGTATGAGATTAGCATGATATTAAACCACCTCATAGCTGATAGGTGAAATAGACTTGTATCTCAATACAATTGTATTGTGTGTGTGTGTATATATATATATATACTCAAATTTAAAGTTCTTATATAGATAAGATGGGATCTTTGTCCTAGGGCTGAACAAAAAACTCGTTGAGCTGACTTGGTAGCTCATTTCAAAAGTGCTTCAATTGAATTCATTTTTAAATGAAAATGACTTGATTTTTGAATGATTACCGACCTTGGCTATCGGCTCGTCTCGACTCATTAGTCTTGACTCCTTAAACTCAGTTTGAAGTTGAGCTTAATTAATTTAAGAGATTGATAAATAAGATTATGCCAATTTTAAAAAAGCCTGAAAAAAATACAATTGCCGCCCCATCACTGTAATTGAGCTCGTCACTGCAATGGATACGCGTAATGCTGACCTTTCTTCGAGGGATTGTCACAGTCAGTCAACAGTATAGATGAGCAACGGGCCGCCACGGCACGGGCCCGTGCCAGGCACGGCCCGATGCCATTGGGCCGGCACGGCACGCCGTGCCTCTCAGGCACGCGGCCTGGCCTTCGGCCCACGCACGACACTATGGGCCACTTTTCGTGCCGGGCCGGCCCGATGAGCATGGCTTTTTTAGCAGGACGGGACGGCCCGAGGCCCACCAAATGCCCAGAGAGAGAGGGGGGAGGGGGCGCAGCCATCGCGGGAGGTGGCGGCGACCGCCCCGTCGGCGCGCTCGCAGCTCACCCCAAGGCACTCGGTGCTAGATCCGTGGCGACGGACAACGAGCTCGAGGATGCCGCACTCGCGGAGATCTGGCCGCAGGGGGCGGAATGGAGCGTTGAGGAGGTGGAGGTCAACGCCACCGTGGAGGAGGCCGGGCGCGTGGGGGCGTGGAGCCGAGAGGGGTGCCGCCACCTTCCACGGCGAGGCAGGATCGCAGGAGGGGAGCCGCTGCCGTCACGCTCGCTAAGGCTTGAGGGAGAAGGAGGCTCGAGGGAGGAGGGGAGCCTCCATCATGATGCTCAGCCCGGGAGAGAGAGGGGGAATCGAGGGAGGAGGAGGCGGCGCGGTGCTCGCGACTGGGGGAGGCACGGGGAACGGGAGGCGAGCGAGGCGCACGTTGTGATTGCGGCGCGGCCGCACGGTGGGGAGGGAGGGGGGGCTGGGGAAGTTACAATTAGGAATAGTATTGGGCTGGGAAGTGGATATTCTTAACAGGCCAGGCACCAGGCTGCCACCGGGCCTCCCCTAAATTGCGGGGCGTGCCGTGCCACCCCACGTGTCTGGGGTAAGGCCCAGACACAGCCTGCTCCCTCGGGTCGTGCCAACCCGGGCCCGCTGGCCACCGGTCCGGGCCGTGCTTGGGTCGGGCCAATAAAGCGGCCTCGTGCCGGGCTGCATGCCCATATATAGTCAACAGTAGTGATAAAAAAACAGTAGTCAGCAAGCAGCCCACAGAAACAACTGCTAATGGGCTGGGCTCAAAGTATACCGCACTGCAACTTTTAGTCCAAACCAAAACTGAGCCCACTTGCCCCACAACAGTTATCCCGACCTGCCAACGAGAAAGCGACGCGGAAACCGAAACCCAACGAACGCTAGCCTAGTCACCCTGCCAGCCAGCCCTGGCCTGCCCCTACGGGAGGTGCCCACGCAGCACAGGCTGCACAGCACAGCACTCCACCCCACCACTCCGCCAGTCGCGAGCCGCAGCAGCTTCGCGTCGCGTCGCACGCATCTCTCCTGCCCGCCCTCCAGCTCCGAAGCCTCGTCGTCTTCCTCGGCCCGCGACCCCCGCCCTGCACGCTCCCTCCCAACTAGACACCGTCCGTACCACCCAGGTGATCCCGCGCGCCACTCCCTCCTTCCCTCCCTTTCCCCCCCCAGCTTTACTCTCCCGTCTCCCCTCCCGCGCCCAGATCCCGAGGCCCCTCCCCCCCGGCGGCGGATCCGGCGCTGGCTCGCGGCCCCGACAGGTACCCTACGCACCGACCGGATCTAGCCGCCGCGTGGTTTATGAATTCAGCTCCCCGCGCGCCGCGTGGCGCGGTACTGCGTGCGCGGGTAGCTCTGGGCTGCTGCAGGATCGACGACGATGCTAGGGTTTAGGTGTGAGTGTGATTCGTGTCGATTTAGCTGAGTGGCGCGTACGCGTTTCGTTTTGTCATGCTGAGCCAAGCGTGGCCAGAAATTTCTCTGGAGCAGGTGCAGCAGCCTCTTGGAGTGACGGGCTTTGAGATTTCCAGTTTAGGGTTCGTTTTGGGTTTGGTACAGCTAATCTGTGCGTTGTAACTGACATGCTTATAGTTTCGAAAGGGTTTAGTTTGGTTAACTACAGCTCATGGGAGCCGGAGGGACCGCATTCAGATGATCCGACATTCACTGCAGTTCCTATATTCATAGCAAGTATTGATGCCGTGAGATCATTTGTATGTGGTTTGGGTCAAGGCTGTTGTTTTTTAAACTAGTAGCTTTAGGTACAGTTCCATGGCAGTCTTGTCTTGTGCATGTGTAAGGTTTTGTGGGACTATGTTCGTTTAAAAAAATGTTTTATGGGACTATCATATAGTGTTCATTGGTGTATGGGAGAATTTTAGTGTCAGAATTACAAGTGCCAAGTTCTATAGTGTTTGGTGATGTGATGAAATACTCTGGAAAAGAATGATGAAATTGAGCATTAGTAAAGCTGTCTGTTTTGATTTGACATAGAAATTAATTGACAGGATTGTATATGATCTAACGTTAGTTTATTCTGCACTTTAAGTGATATAGGGACCAAGGATATCATACACAACAGTTAAGTAGAATCACTGGTATCTGCCCTTTAATCTTTTACTGCTAAGCATGATGAGGGTTTAGGATATTGTTTTCTGAAAGTGTAGTATATTTTGCCTTGAACAGTTATATTGGGTTTCCTTGCAAGGGATCTCATGCTATATTTTAGCTTACATTTGGTCTTCTTTTTTCCAGTTCAGGTTTTGCTTTATGCTGGTTCATTTGTCTACGGACAATGGACTAGTTGCTACACTGTTTCTGTGATTCACCATGGGAAGCAGTGGAGCAGATACACCGTCTAAGACAAGCAAGGCATCTGCCCCTCAGGTTCTTGATGCTGGGCCTGTGGCATTATCTTTTAAGTGAAAAAAGATTACTTGCTAAAAATTTGTCCTTCCCTGTAACAGGAGCAGCAGCCACCTGCTACCTCAGGTGCTGCAACACCGGTTGTTTATCCTGATTGGTCCAGCTTCCAGGTGAGAGTGATTCCCCTCCTCTCCTCCAACCCAACTAACCCAACCACACTCTAGGAGGAAATAAATATGTATGTAGCAGTTGCAACTTTCGTTTCCATAATTAGTAAATCTGTAATCCCCAATGTTTTCAAGGCGTCGCTTAAGCGCCAAGGCGCTGCATGCATGACGCCACAGCAGACAACTCGCCTTAGATTCCACACCAGTGAGCAGGAGAGCGGGAGGGAGAGAGCGGGCGCACGGGAGATTCCACACCCGTCGGGAGAGCGGGAGGGGAACAAGAAGCCGCAGCTCGCCCGCGCCGACGGGATAAGTTGCCGACCGACCGCCGTCTTTCCCCAATCAGCGCTGGCCTGCAGCATCCCGCCTCCTCTGTTCCTCTTCCACCATTGAGAGATAGATAGAGAGAGAGAGAGAGGTGGGCGGAGGCGGAGGTAACGGGAGGGAAGAGACAGAGAGATGGGCGGAGGCGGAAGTCAAAGAGAGTTGAGGCGGCGGCGCAGTGCAGGAGAGAGATGATAACCTTACCGCCTTGAAAACCATGGTAATCCCTACCATAAAATGATAGCAATCAACACATTATAAGCATAGTGGAAAGCAAAGGCATGCTGATTTTGGATTGCAATATTGTGCCAGTGATAATCAGAATGGGCATATAGTCTTTATCCTGCTAATAATATCATAAGTATTGTTCTACCAATGCGACTTTTGTTAATAATTATGTTCCATGGTCCTTTTGCAGGCATATCCTCCAATCCCACCACATGGGTTCTTCCCTTCAGCTGTGGCATCAAGTCCACAGGGTCATCCTTACATGTGGGGAGCTCAGGTAAGCTTTTTAGTCATATGTTTGTGTTTTCAGTATAGTAGTGGCTGACTGCTTTTCATGTTTTTTATCAGTTAGAGGGTTGTTTAAGTGTACGCGCTTCAAGTGGTTGAACTTAGCTGTCTGATAGAAAGCATTGTTTGTATATTAGTTCTATGTTTTTTTTGTCACTAATAATACTTATACCCATCTGCTATTATTTATAAATGCGAGGGTTGTATATGGAAATTTTTCCTTATTTCCTTAAAGTGACATGACATTATTTGAAAAATATAGTTCTGAACCAAAAGTACTACTGATATTTAATATTTTTTAAAGGTAAATTGAATGGTTCAAACAAATTGATTTTTGCTAGTGAATGGGTAATTAACATAATAACAAAGTTTTTTGGTTCACATTTTTCTCATTATCTTCTTTCAGCCTATGATTCCACCATATGGAACACCACCGCCACCATATGTCATGTACCCTCCTGGAGTATATGCCCACCCATCTATGCCCCCGGTATGTTCAACACATGGCTTTAGTTTTCACTATGTACTTGTCAAATGGCAATGCTGACCTTGGTTGTCATTGTGCTATTGTGCAGGGTGCACATCCATTTACTCCTTATGCCATTACTTGTCCAAATGGCAATGCTGATGCTACTGTAAGACATGATATTTTTAGATTAATCTTTCTTGTGCTTAGTATGGGGGGAGCCTAATGCATCTAGGCTTTGTAGGGAACTACTGCTGCAGCTGGTGATACTGATGGCAAGCCCTCTGAAGGCAAAGATAAAAGTCCAACAAAGAGATCTAAAGGAAGTTTGGGCAGCTTGAACATGCTTACTGGAAAGAATCCCAGTGAACATGGTAAGACCTCTGGTGCATCGGCTAATGGAGCCACTTCTCAAAGGTATTTTTGTTGTGACCTTAAACACCATATGTTCTTGTGTGCACCCTTCCGTAAGTATCAGTGAACGAGTTGCTGTTTCTCTTTGCAGTGGCGAAAGTGGCAGTGACAGTTCAAGCGAAGGGAGTGAAGGAAATTCTCATAATGTAAGTCTTGCTGAATTGCTCCTTCATTTTTGTTGTGTATTTGTTATGTATACACAATAATCTGTTTTGTAATCCATTGAAAGAATTTTTAAAAAATACTCCCTCCAGTAAAAAATATATGATGCTTTTGACTTTTTTAGTCTTCGATGTATAACTTTGAGCTCAACTTTTCTATTAAACTAGTTACAATGTCTAATAAATTATGTGATATCAAAAGTGTTACTGCCGAAAAATCTACCCATACTTCTGTATATCCAAACTGAATATTTTGAGAGCTCTCATTGGTTAAAGTTTCAAAAGTCTGACCAGATTTTAGTCAAAGGATCATATAAATGGTGGGAGTAATATCTTTTCCAATATCCATGAGAACTGCCTCCTGACGTTGTTGACCTCTTGGATATACTTTGTTTGATGTCCAAATATTTCAGACCACACTAGCATGCCTTTCGAGTTGCCGTGCATTCTTGTCACAGTTGGGTTTACAATGTAATTGCATGTGGTCAAATATTTCTGGCATTCATTATGACTTGATATTATCTTGGGATTGTCCTAACGTGCCTTTGCATCATTGAGTAATTTTTACAGGATTCACATCACAAGGAAAGTGGACAGGAGCAAGATGGAGGTATGTATATGTACATATCTACTTGGCTTCTTCTTTTGCATTTTTCTGAACTTATCATTTTTGTGCCAATTTGCATTCAATTAGATGTTCGAAGTTCCCAGAATGGTGCATCACGTTCACCATCTGAGGGAAAATTGAACCAAGCTATGACAATCGCGCCCATGCCATCAAGTGGCCCAGTAACTGGTCCAACTACAAACCTAAATATTGGGATGGACTATTGGGCCAACACAGCAAGCTCTGCTCCTGCAATTCATGGCAAAGTGACCCCAACAACAGTTCCAGGGGCTGTGGTCCCAGCAGAGCAATGGATACAGGTTTGTCTTCTTTTTATTCTGCTTTGTATGCACTGTGTGTCCTCCACCTTTTCCTTCTATATTGCGTTATTTCTGTTTGCATTTTTGTGCACACCATATTATCTGTCCACTGGCCTGATCGTTTGCAATAGGGGTGATTATAAAATATATTTATTTAGAATAAATTCGGTCGATGAAATTGAAATCAAACTGTTGCACAAGTATATTTTCTACTAGCTCTGGTACAATGTACTTGTTTCAGTACTGTGTACACAGTTTAAGAATATAGTGTGTGTTGTGTCTTTGACCACGAATTGCTATTTTCTTGATTTGTTTTTGCATCATTTCTATCTAAATCTTTCTCTCATGATATATTTTGTAAGAGGTGTATGCCTTGTGCTAATTTTATTAGAGATTGAATTGACACTAGAGAAATTGTGGATACAAATTGAACATATATCAATCTGGCAATTGGAGAATCTATTCACGTTGACTTTCTTGTGGTTCAGGATGAACGTGAACTCAAAAGGCAAAGAAGAAAGCAGTCCAATAGGGAGTCTGCACGCAGATCTAGGTTGCGTAAACAGGTAATTGTTAGTTCAACTTGACTGTACTGGGTATCACTATGTTGTCAGCTAGTTGATGGAGAACAAATGTGAGTTTTGCAGGCTGAATGTGAGGAGTTGGCTCAACGTGCTGATGTTTTAAAGCAGGAAAATGCTTCACTTAGAGATGAAGTAAATCGTATCAGAAAAGAGTATGAGGAACTTCTATCAAAGAATAACTCACTAAAGGTTGGCCTGCAACTTTTCAATTTTATTCTGCTGAAGTACATATGTTAACATCTCTGTTCCGCTTTCTGCTCTGTAGGAAAAACTTGAAGGCAAACAACACAAAACTGATGAGGCAGGACTTAACAACAAGCTGCAACATTCTGGCGATGCCAGCCAGAAAAAAGGAAACTAATCGAGCTATCATGCAATGCTTGCATAGCATGGCTCTAACTAGATTATTGGGAGGCGCAATTGTAGTATGCATATTAACTCCTTACTTTATTGCAGTTAATTGTTACCAGGTTGTGATAATGTTGATTCCAACCTTGTGTGTGGGTGTTTCCTGTTTCAGATCTATCTTGGCTTATCTTTTAGAAGTCAAGATGTGACTGAAGATGTAGGCTGTGACCCAGTTCACTGTATCTGTTAGAAATAGTGGATAAACTGAAATTTACAAATTTGTATTGCTGACTAATATTGTTATGTATACCTGGCAAAAGACTGGTTTCTTTTAATTCAGTCTGGTTGAACATTTTGCTGGGCTTGCCTTGCTGCCTAGTTTATGTATATTGTTGTTTATCAGTTGTTCCTAGTTACTTTCTATGATAATTAACAAATAGACGAAGAATCAACCTCTGCACCAATAAATATGTATATATTTTGTGTACGCAAGTCCCTTTTTTTGCGTCTTTTTTCTATTTCACTTCGAAGTTTCCAGGTTTGTTTCTGCCCTGTTTAATTGTGAATCTTGGTGGTATTTGATTTTTTAAGTTTGAACAATCCATCTGCTGTAGGCAGTTTGGTTAAAAGACATTGCTATTTTTCAGCTTAGTATACTGATATTAGTTATTCTTTTTTCATCCATCTATTTCTGAAGTGCCAGCAGAATGGTTTGTTAAACTTGTTTTGCTGAGTTTGCGCCTGATTCTGGTAAGTTTTTGGGCTCCTGGCACTTTACTTTTATGATCTTGTTTTGATTTGTGTATTACAGGAAAATGGTTCTAGATTATGTCCTAGATGAGCAAGTATAGTTCATTGGTATGTCTGCCTTACAGGTAGCAATTCATTTTTCTTTATGTTTGTTATTTGTAAGTTGTTGCTGGTAGTTTTATTATGGTATTAATAATGCATGAGGTGAAGTTATCAGACTTCTATAAAGTTTATGTTATTAGATCATAACAAAGATAAAATCTCCTGTGCACTAATTTTCCTCGAATGAAGACTCATTCATTGAACAAGAATCTGGCTTTGTATCCAGATTTAAAAAATGGAAAACATCAATGCTATCACTAGGGTAGGACTAGCCAATCCAGTTTTTGACATAGAAGTGTCTGAACTCGGGCTTTCTGCTGCAGGTTCGTGAGCAGGGATCGTGGAAGAACTTGTGTTGGGAGATGGTAGAGAAGATGTGCTCAAGGATTGGTTATCGGTCACAGTCTTCGCTGGTGCTGCAGAAGTTGGAGCGGCGTAGCGAGTGCAAGTTGCCGCTTTTACTCTCCGTGTTGCTGTTGGCCTTATGACTCCATTTATTCCATGGCACCTGAATGACTCCCCCAAGTGGCAGAGATCAGGATTTGTGAGCTCGATGCCGTTGAAGTAGAGCTTCTGATGCTTGATGTTGGTTACAGTGATTGTGTCACCCAAGTGGCGGGTGGGGACCACTGTTCCATTGGGAAGCCTGATGAGGTCGTTGAACATCAGGGGCGCAGTGATGGAATGCCTGGATAGGAACTCCAGCACCTGGCTCTCAGAGATGGATGCAGTGGACAGCAGCCTGTCACTACTGTAGCATTTCGTTTGTATTTGGTAATAATTGTCCAATCGTTGACTAATTAGGCTCAAAACGTTAAGTACAACTAAACTGTGCAATTAGTTTTTGATTTCGTCAATATTTAGTACTCCATGCATGTACGTAAGTTTGATGTGACGGGAAATCTTCTTTTTATATAGTGCTAAAGTTTGGATTTTGGTGGAAACTAAACATGGCCTTATTTTGCAGAACCGAGCCAAAACGGGTTCTAACGAACTCGTTCTACCGCTGCTTACCTCACACAAAACGCAATACACTGGCAACCAAACGGCAAGGCTGGCATATTTGGTTTTGAACTAACACGCACTGTGTTGTACTAATGTTTTCTTATTATATAAGTACTATAAATAGACGGGAGATTTGTTACTGTGCTTGGGAGGAACCGTAAGAATTATTTACAGCCATTGATGATTAAAAAATAATTAATTATTTTTAAGGGTAGTTAAGTACTTTTTCTTATTCTACACAATCGCTAACTCCCCAACCTAATTTCACGTCAGGAACGGCACTCTTCCAGTCACGAGATATCGCTACTGCCGGCCGGTCTCGCTGCTTCCTGGACCGCCACCTGCCTTGCCGGTGGCCGGCCTACGGGGCTGTTCGACAGGACTGAAAAATAAGTCATAATACTATTCCAACTGATTGTTGTGAGAAAAAATACTGTTCTATCTAAAATACTGTGCATATGAACAGTGTTTTCGTGTCTGCGCTGGCCAGCCAGCCGAACACTCGCGTACGTTGGTGCGCCGCCACTTGCCTCCCTAAGGTCGCGGTCACCCGCATCGCACACGTCTGCACATATTGCCGTTAGGCTGTTGCAGCAGCAGGCCACTCCGCACTCCCACCCACGTATCACCGTCAGGTTGCCGCCGGTGGCTTCCACCTTCACATCACCGGCACCTTGCTGCCATCCGCACCACACGCATATTCACCCGACCAAGGTGACAGGCGCGGGCCCGGGGTCACGCGAATCACCTGGCCCTGTCCCCTTGGCGCCGCGTCCACGCAACCTCCGCACCAACCACCCGCGCCCGCGATGCCGTCCGATGCGCCGCACGCATCACCACCGCCCGATCACCGTCCGCCATTGGAGCCCTTGGAGCTCGGCTATAAAAGCCAACGCCCGCGAGCCCTAACCCTCAGCCCGTTCGCCGCCATCACTGGTGGCACAGTACCACACCGCGTCAAGCCGAGAGAGAGAGGGAAGAGGAAGAAACAAGGAGGAGGAAGCAAGCCGCTGTGGAACCGGACCTCGCCGGAGCCAGGAGCGCCGCCCCAATCGGCTATAGTGACGTAGCTGCTCGGCACGACACTGCATCGCCTCATCACGGCCTCGCCTCGCCACCGCACCGCCATCCTACCGCCACGAGCCCTACGGTGAGCCACGTCGTTCGCCGCTCACCGTGCTAGCCGTACTCGCCATGAACGCCATCGCGTTCCTGCACCTGGGGAACGCAGAGGTGGAGCATTCCCGCTCCTGGACACGCTGCACACGCACCGCATGCGCACAAGCCCAAGGCCTGGCCTCACCGACCCCTAGCGGCTCGGGAACACCGGCATGACCACTCCTAGCCTCTCGGACGCCATGAACGGACGGACCCGTGAAGCACGAGCTCTTGCTCGCTTAGCCAACACGTAGCATAGAAGGACCACCACGACCCTCTTGTTGACCAAACGCCATGAGAGACCACGACACGAGAACACGAAGCGCTTTGCTCGCATGCTTAGCCAACCGCACGCACGCGCTCCACCATGGAAGGACCACCTTCTACGACCCTCTTGAGACACACCGCCAACCTTAGCGAGGATGAAGCCCACCGCCTGCGTTGCGGCATCAAAGGGCGGGCGTTGAGCTCCCGAGCCCTTCGACGACACCTGCTCGCCATGGTCGAGAAGCACCGTGGAGCTCACACGCTCCTCAAATCGGGCTCTCGCTACCATCTGCAGCGTATCCATGCACGCCGAGCGAACCCACGCCGCCGTTCACCGCGGCCCAAGAAGCCGCCCGACCACCACGTTAACTTCACCTCGGGACACCCGCTATGGCATGGCCAAGCTTTTGCCCACCTTTTTCGCACACCCGCTCAGCCGGAGGGGCTCGCCCGGTGAGCTCACCACCGCGGGAGCACGACGGGGAAGAAGATTGTGATTTTCCTCTCGCCGGGCACACGTCCGAGCACTTGGTCCACGTGAACCGAACACTGGGAAGGAGTAAGTGGACCAAGTCCTTCATAGACCGGCTCTGCGGTCTATGGACCAACGCAGGTGGGTTCACCATGAACCGCGCCTCACCTGTCAGACACCGTTTGACCCCGGACCCACCTGTCAGCCGTGGTTTAGCTCAGATGGCGCCATGCTGACGTCATGCCGATGAAGAGACCACGCCAGCGTCGGGGACTTCGGCAATCTCTCCGACCACATCGGTGACCACTCCGACCACCTCCGCGATCTCACCGACCACCTCCGCGATCTCACCGACCACTTCAGCGATCTCTCCAACCACCGCTGCAACCTTTTCGACCACCTCTACAACCTCTCTGACCACCTCACCAGCTGTGTCCCTACATGCCACGTGAACCAGTCACAGCGTGACACGTGTCAGCACGATATTAATTTAGCCTTTTCCATTTTTAGAGATGAATTAAATTTCGTAAATTCATAGAAAATCCATACGGCCTCAGAAAAATGTGAAACCAGTTTCCACATTTTTCTAAAATCGAGCTCTACATGGTGGACTTGTCCCCACTTGCTGTTCGTGCCGCAAAACTCGAGACCGAGATCTGCCTCTCTTTTAGACTTGCAAATGGCCCCGACGCCTTGGCCGAATACCCTCATCGCCAACCCTAGTTGTGTCCTACAGCAGCAGCCACCCTCTAGCCACCTGCTGCCAAGCCCGGCCAGCAACAGCCAGCCCTTGGCCACCTATAGCACGCTGCAGCTTGCCGTAGCCAGCCACAGCAAGCTGCAGCAAGCCACAGCTAGTCACAGTAGGCCGTAGCTGGCCAGAGGCAGCCATAGCCCTCCGAGACAAGTTGCAACAACCCTTGGGCCTCCACATCTTCTGTTGTCGTTGTATGGAGTCCGTTCCCGACATTCCGGCTGCCTCGTTAAACGAGGGCGAGCCGTTGAGAAACCGTGTGATCCCTAGCATCGTACCGATGACAAGTGGAGTCTTTTCGACGTTCTGGTCGCCTTGCCTTGCAAGTGCGTGCCGTTGAGGAGATATCATAACCCGTCTACTGCGAGCTGTAACCTCTGGACCATGAACCCTAGTTGTATGTCTTATCGAGACCATGGAAAGCCCCATCTCGCATCTTTCCGTATACGCATATCTACCTTGTTGGGCCCTATTCTTATGACCTATCTGTCCATGACTGTCTTAC